AAAACCCTCGAATCAGACCAGCCCCGGTCGGACTCAGTATCGCCATCTGCCTTGCCTTCACCGAAGCACAAGGATCATATGCGTCCTCTCCGACATCAGCTGACACCGAAAGTGTACCAAAGCTGAACGTTGTCGTAAGGTAGCTTGCTGTTCCTCCGCGATTGGAAGCAGTGACATTGCTCACCATAGGATTCGTAGCTGGAGCACAAAACCACTGAAGTCGCCCGTATCCTTTCCAACATCGAACAGAATCCTTCATGGCGTTAAGTCTGTTTCCCTCAGGGTATCACCACAGTTCCCAATGTAATACACTGTCTACATCGACATTTTCTTGCACTTTTGCAAGAAGAGTCCGGCCATGAAGGACGCGGAGAGAGAAGTACAGGTCAAGAGTGTGAAAGGACCCAACGGGAGCAAGAAATGGGTGGCTACGGAAAGGTTTAGTAGTGGGGTGGGGAACCCTGTGAGGATAAAGATAAAGGCGTGAGTAATCGGCAACCCGTTTGGTCATAGAGCTGACACCCATTGCAGTCTGGAGAGAGAGCTGAAAGCGGGCACTTGTTCATGTGTCCACGGCTTTTCTCCATCTTCGAGGAAATGGAGTGACGTGCCCAACCGCATCCAAGGTTAGTGCTCGCCATGCCGGCTGAGTTGGCATCCACGCTCATATCCCAAATAGTCAATCTCCAATCCGCACATTCCTACTACTCTCAACTACTCCGGCTATCCCAATCATCTTTCGAGTTCATCCTCCCCCCATATTCCTCCACAAGCGACCCATCAGCGAGACCTGTTAGCGAACGTGCTCCCAAGACCTCCAGCGCCATGAAGGCGAAAGGGAAGCAGGTGGGCAAGAATGGCAAGCGCAACGCCGTCCCTGCGCCATCACCCTTGTCTAAAGGTCATGGTATGGGGACGAAGATTGACTTTGGGCTCTAGCTTGAGTTAGACAAGGGGTGAGGCGTTTGTTCAAAGGGCGTATTATCGGTAGGGAGGAGACTTCGCCTGACGACGGTCAGCCTCGTACGACGTTTTGACGCCGCCATTCTTTGATATAGTAGTCTAGGTAATTCGATATGGTATCTGTATCACGTCCATTTCCATCATCGTGCTCATTTCCAGAGTCAAGCAGAAGTGCATTTTGCAAACAAAGAGCATGCGCATCGGCATTAGCATGGACCCACACTAATTGAGAATATCCCTAGATCCTGTTCTAGGAAAGGCAAAAAAGACAAAAGAAAAGAACGACGGCACCCGGGATTCCCAGGTGGTCCCCCACCCTGGTACTAACCGAGCGCTCTCCTAGTTGACTTCGCGGATCAGACGGGACGCGGTACTTTGAGGAGGCTATGGCCGTCGATGGAAGAAAAATACAACAATTAATTCCTATGCAGTTAAAACAATATGACCGCGTAACCGACAGCGCTGACAATAATCCACCTGTCTGTAACTTCAACTTTTTTTCTTATACAACAGACATTCCGAGTTTCGACTCCCAGACACTCGCCCTCGCCATGTCAGCATCACCCTCTCCAAAGACCGCCCTCCCCCATCCCGAAATCACGACCCTCTCCCTTCGCCCCCGAAATCATCTCCCCCATCTACTGTTACTTCCTCGCCCAAAACCCCACCGAGAGTAGATGCCAGTCTCTCAGTCCCCGGCCGCAACACAACTCGCAGAACTCGCGTCGTGAACCCCCAATTGAACGGATCAAAGCAGTATTGGAAGACCTTCTTATATTCGTTCTACCTTTCAGGATCTGGTCCCGGACGGATCCGAAGACGTTTCTGTCTTTCCATAACGCGAGGCCTTTGGTACCTCCACCTGCCATGGCGAAAACAGGGATATATGAGCTACCGACGGTGATGTACACGGCGCAGATCTTGATGGCAGTGGCAGAGACAGAGGTAAAAGAGTACATGTCAAGGCTATACCACCGGGTGCGATTTGACACAAAGAAAAACGACTTGTCAGAGCCAGTAATACACTCTGTCAACTGCATACAGCTAATGATACTCGTTGCTGGCCCCTCTTTGACCGACCTTGGAGGATCAGATTCACCAATGCAGTGCCCCTTCGGGCCGATATCGACATTCCTCAACCCTTACTAAACGGCTGCCGTAATCATCCTTACCACCCACTTCTGGCACATGGGCGTCGCGAGGAGCTGCTGAGACGATGATGGAGAGAGGTTATCAGTGTTGGAGGTCCGGCGAAATGCGATTGTCGTGAAATTTTTGGAACAAGGACACCCAAAATCATGGTGCGTCTTCTTGGCTGCTGTGCAGAAGAGTCATGCTGACCGAGCCTTGCTCACTGCTGCAGAGTGATGCCTGATATGGGTTACGCCGCTTATATATCGTACACATATATCGTACAATGTTTCACAGTAGGTCCAGCGCCATTGCCGTTAGCCCAATTGACGCGCTGACGGCTGTATAGCGTCGTGACATGCAACATGATCCCTTTCAACCCCGTCCACATCCTTATCTTCGTCTTCGCCTGATACTTTTAGAGCCCCCCCCCCTCCCAGACGCGCTCTCGACGCCTCATCCATGACTCCCTCCATCATCCGGACTCAACACCGTTTTCGGGGACATCAAGTTCGTTCTCTTCGGATTCTTTACAGAGGCCTGATCCCCAGTTGCCTATCCCTATGTCTATCTCTGTCTCCCGCCGGATAGTCTCGTATCACGGAAAAGCGAGGTTCGAAAGCGGTCGCGTCGGAAAAGAGATTCGGAAAAGAGATGATAGAGCTGGGATGTTGAAAGTGGGGCGTAGAGTGATGGGGACTGGGGGTGGCTGCCGGCATCGCCATGGTTCGTGACGCCCTTGCGCCTCCATGTCTCGCATACCAGGACGACTCATAAGTTCGCGGCGAGAAGATATTCATAGATGTGAGCACTATTTGAACACCTATATGACCTGGGAGCAAGACGACTTCTTTCCTATGCACTTCTTTTACCTCTTCACTCACGACGACCAAATTGTATACAAGCTTCTATGAGTCGATTCACCTTATTTTTTCTGCCCGTTGGAGGAGCAAGAGACGAGTCAATGTGCGTGTTGAAAACGCCCCCCATTTCGAGCGGGGTTTTGTGATGGATACAATGGGGAAGATTAGACGGATAGGGGATAGATCAGTTGCCTCGGCCAGCCAAGCGGCCGCCCTGGATCTTGTCTCCCTCTTGTGACCTACACACAGCTATCAGCATACGGACGTTTCCAAGACCCTCACCAAAAGTAGTAAGGGAGTAAAGAAACTCACGTGCTGATACCGACCATAGCGTCGCCGAGGTTGGTGGAGATTTCGGCAAGGACGGTGGGGTTGTTGTAGTGGGTGACGGCTTGGACGATAGCCCGGGCGCGCTTAGCGGGGTCGCCGGAGAGGACTTGAAGATGGTCAGCACATGTACAAGAGGTGAAGAGGAGGACTTACAGATGCCTGAACCAACAAAGACACCGTCGCAGCCAAGCTGCATCATGAGAGCAGCGTCGGCAGGGGTAGCGACACCACCAGCAGCGAAACTGAACGGGGTCAGCTACAGAAACTTGAATTCAGAGATACAACTCACGATACAACAGGCAGCCTCTTGAGCCTAGCAGTCTCCTTCAACAGATGGTAAGGTGCCGAGATGTCCTTGGCATACGCATACAGCTCCTCGTCCGTCATCGCTGCGGCCTTCCTCACTTCGCCCATCACCTGCCTCTGGTGCCTTACCGCCTCAACAACATCACCGGTACCAGCTTCGCCCTTTGTTCGGATCATAGCGGCGCCTTCAGAGATACGGCGAAGAGCTTCACCAAGGTTTTTGCAGCCGCAGACGAAGGGGACTTTGAAGGCGTGCTTGCCGATGTGGTGTTGGTCGTCCGCGGGGGTGAGGACTTCTGATTCCTGCGAAGCATCAAGCCTGCCGTTCAAGTAAGCTAGAGCAGACTTACGTCGATATAGTCGACCCCAACAGCCTGCAAGATCTGGGCCTCGACGGTGTGGCCGATACGGACCTTGGCCATGACGGGGATCGAGACGGCCTCCATGATCTCTTTGATCATGCCGGGGTCGGACATACGAGCAACACCGCCATCCCGTCGGATGTTGGCAGGAATTCGCTCTATTGTGTGAATTAGCCCATGTCCTCAGCCTCAAAGACGGGGAGACGTACCCAGAGCCATGACGGCAGAAGCACCAGCCTCTTCGGCGATCTTGGCTTGCTCGGCGTTCATAACGTCCATGATGACACTGTCGACAGTCAGCTTGGTCCCCGTGTCTGATGATGCACTCACCCGCCTTTCAGCATCTGGGCGAGTCCACTCTTGACGCCGAAACTACCTCCGGCGCCGCTGCTGGTGCCTCCACCTCTGGGACCGAGGACGGGAGTGGAGGTGCCATGGGAGGTGGGGGCGCCGTTGGGATGGGGGTTGGCGGAGGGGATGATGGTGGGCTCGGTGGAGGACATGGCGGGCCGTGGTGGAACAGAAATGGGTGGAAATGCTTGCGAGATCCAAAATCCCGAGTCGATCAGCACAGAAGGAGCGAGAGACGCGGCAATAATAGAGGGGCGGTGACCGCCGATAAGCGCCGAATACCAATGGCGGGGCTCCGTCTTTCAACTCCTCGAATTGAGTTTTTTCATGTATTTCGAGCCCATCTCTGCACTCATAACTACTAATATGCGCACTCTGAAGCATCGCGAGTATCTAAACATATCGACGACAGAAAGAAAAATTGTGTGAGGCTCTGCCTTCTTCCCACCCTCGAAACTTCTCACTTAAGCCCCATCGTCTAAGGCAAACCATGCTGCTCTTTCCGTACAGTACAAAGGCTTCGTGGTCTGCGTGTTGCTTTGTGTCATACTAGGGTCCATGATCCTGTAAGGAGGGTCGACAAATAGTGCAAACTTTTACATAAACAAATTCCAGGTGATGTCGCGGTTATTGATAGAATAGGTTGGGTGATGTCGCCATGCCTTCATGGGGGCAGTACTGAAAAAAACAACATCGACGGCCATAGCCTCCTTGAAGTACCGCGTCCCGTCTGATCCGCGAAGTCAACTAGGAGAGCGCTCGGTTAGTACCAGGGTGGGGGACCACCTGGGAATCCCGGGTGCCGTCGTTTTTGCCTTTTCGTTGGTTGGTTGAGAAAGTCGCTGCCACTACGTCAGAGCATGCTATACGTTGATTAGCATTAGACAACCATTTATCCCAGCAAGCCCCCGATAACCCTAAACCGATAGAGGTTAGCTTTCCCAAGAAGGTATATGTGATCCAAGAAGACTCAAAAAAGACGTCGTGGTGCATGGCAGCAGAGGTTACGTCGGGCGCGGCTCTCGTCATACACCATCTTCTTACATCAATATCTTGCCTGAAGCGACAGCATGGGCCAACCGGTATGAAAGGGTCAACATCCGTTCAATATTGGATGATTCTGTGATCTGAGCCTCTCCACTTCTTTTTTACTGTGATCCATCGTCCGGATGAGGTGGCGCCTTCTTCGGCCGCTGCATCCTCAGGGCTATTGATTTTTGCCACTCTCGCTCGGTGGCGTCGAAGGATGGACCAGGCAAGAAGGCAGCAGAGGATAAGTGGCAAAGTCCATCGCAGCGCCTTATCTATAAAGAAGCAGATATAACACCCGGCACTCGCCTGCAATAATCTCAAAACGAGCTTAATTCAGTCAATATCAAACACCCAACATGTCGGTGCTTTACTCAACAGCCCTCGAATCGTTTCTCTCAGCCACTCAAACCCTTTCATCTACCTCACCTGAATCCATTTCCGACCTGGCTACAGGCAGCGGCTACAAATCCGAGATAGAAGAGGCCATCCAGAGGATAGACAGTGCAATGAACGGGCTGGAAGAATGGCTGAAGATGACGGAAGCTAGTGAAAAGGTTGACGCAGGATCCGGAGAAGAGAGCCCACAAGCCTCGGAGCCAGCTTCGGAGGATCCTTCGCCTTCAGATGACCCTCCTCCCTCCGAACCTCCTCCGCCATCTGAGGAGGCTCCCAAAAGTGAAGGGTCTGATGCGCCTGCGGCCAGCGACAATGATACTCCTCCTGCAGCAGAGACCGAGACGGAGAATGCCCCTTCAGCCGAAGACTCCTCTTCAGTCGCCACGAGTGACTTTGCATCTACCGAGTCATCCACTACTACCAACGATCAAAATGAGGGACTGTCACCTTCAAAAAATCATACGGAGGCGGAATCTCCCGAAGGTGAAGAGGCTTCATCATCCACGGAAGAGGCTGCTGCACCACCAGAATCGTCTGATGAATGAACAGACTCGCCAGCAGCAGAGTCAAAGAAAGATAATGAAGAATAAGGATAGCTGTCTAGTGGGGAAGGAAACACAGGTGGGGTCCTACATGTAGCAGAATGATACAGAGATCATTGGTGGCGAAAGAAGAGAAGTAACCTGATGATAACATGTCAAGATAGAAAAGAACGAACAGAACCAGAAAAAAGCAAGCTATAATGTACAGCCAACAAGTGGAGGATGATGCTGGTTCAATGAGACCCTATTCCCCAAAGTGTATGCTATGCATGGTGGTATGGTTATACGGTGTATTTCCTTATGATACGACGACATCATATCATACTACGAGGCCCGAGGCCGCTTGAGCACCTGTTCGCCAAACAAACATTTTTACCTGCCTGTTTTGTATAGTTTTCATTCCTGTACGGGCTTTGCCTTTTTTTTCGTTTACACTTGTACATCCACAGTGCGATATGTAGCCTGTCGACATATCTTTCTACATAAGATCCAATGGAAAGGGACGAGTGTTCTATCACTGCTAATGATAGTAGTAGTATTAGCTGGTGGCATGGATTATTCCAATCATCATCAACAACAAAATGATGCCGACCATGATCAAGCTTTGAGAGACTAATGAACATGCTTCACTTTTCCGAGCATCGACGTGCGACGACTGGCCTGGGTCTTTGACATAGCTCTTCTAACCAGTCACCGCTGTGATCCTGACGCAATAATCATGATGGTCTCCTCATCATCCATTATTGGAACTTTTACTCCTTTCATTTCAGGAAACATGGTCCGAACAGTCTGCCTCCGAGATGTCTCTGGCACAACTATTGAGTCAGAGGTCTCCTTTCAGCGAAGTATATTATACGCGGAGTTGAGACGGAATGGATGTTGACTCGACTCTTCTGATCGACTCCTCCGCTCCAGTGCTCATTATAAGAAGGCTGAGAAGTGAACACCTACGGACATAATCAACTGATCTCGCAGATAACAAAGCTCCCGATTGCAGTACGTTCATTGCATAACACTCGTCACATCGCACTACGCACATTTCACCACCACAAGTGTAAACCCAAATACGCACCAACAATATGTCGGAATCGGACGCCGCCTCCACAAAGAATGAAAACGCTACCACCACCCCCGCCACCACCGAAGCGCTCACACAAAGTATCAAGTCTCTTGCCAAATCTTCCGCATATGCTCGTAAAATCCGTAAAGGCGGTCTAACCAATCTGACAACGGATCAAGCGACAGATTTGGACAAGAGCATCAGGGAGGCCCAAAGTCAACTCCATGTGCTGAGCAAGGCATTCAAAGAGTGGGCAAAGGAGCATGAATGGACCAGACCTTCCAAGACGACGGATGATAGTAAAGCGAAGAAGGAGGATAGCCAAGCGGAAAGCGAGGCAGAAAGTACGAAGAGCGAAGACAAGACTGAATGATCTGAGCCCGTCTTTGAGCTGGCCCTTCTCCTGCTCATAGATCTTCTTGCTTTTCCTTAAACTCAAAGATCTCATTGATGGCTAGCCCACACTATGATTGTTGATAGCGATGGAAAGAAATTGATGTTATGGAGATCATATCAATTGCATCTTCATGTGATAGACTAAGAAAGATTCATAAACTTCTCTTCGACGTGATTCATTGTCTTACCCATGATAAAATTCAAGAACCCTAACGAATGTCTTGCGCCAGTTATTGATCATGCATATCATGTCGGATAACAGATGCTAGGGATCCACAGCTGTTTTCTTGGTGGACAACTCACCCAAATTTTATGCCTTGTACGTTGAGCTACTCCAGCAGTCCATGCTTGCAGTACGGGAGTCAGGCAGTGGGGAGAGAGATGGCAGTCAAGAGGGTAGACGAGATTGTCGATGTAACGATGAGTGCATTCGAGAGTGGAAGGTGGGAATGAAGGGGATGGGTAGATGGGTACAAGGCGAAAGAAAGATCGTGCTGTATACATAGTGTTCTATATAGTCGTCAGCGCGTACATGAAGCTGGCTGGTAACCATATCGGACGTACTGTGTAACCTCATCAATCATAGACATATTCCTGCTCAAGCATTGCCCTGCAGCAGGAGTGAACGAGTTTTCGTCAGCATGGCTTATCTTTAAGCAAGCAAGGATACGCACTTTTGACTACTAATGCTTCTTTCCAAAAATCTCGCAACACTTGCATTTCGCTGGACCCTCGTAGCTAACCAACTCTTCCCACGATTTTTTGAACAACGAATCAAAACGAATCAAAGTTTGGATAAGACAGGTCTTGACCATGGTTGAAGTCGTTAAGAAAGGGCTGGGGGATATCGATGTTGGCTGGAATAGGTGCTACATTGGTGATCCGGATCTTCCAAGGTTTGTCACAGGGCTTCCAGCTACAGATATATGAGTTTGGAAGAGAAAGTGCGAGATATGACTCACCAATTGTTGGATTTCATTCCGTTATGCCTCATACTCATTGTTAATGATTCCATGTGCCTTGTTGCAATCCTCTTCGCCACCATATTCTGCCTTTTCCACTCATCCGCGCCATCATCGAACCTTCTTGGAAGCTCTGCTACCAACGTAACCGCTGTCACATGATCGAAAACCTCAGGTCTCGCGCTGTGTAGAGTTAGGGACGTCTGCAGAGGCACTTTGATCGAGATGACCTCGGATGATAGCTCTCCCCAAAGCAGGGTCGTCAAACACTGTGCCGTCCGCCCTGTTCTGTAGCAAGGATTACTTGGGTCCCTACCAAAGTCGTCTTTTACGTCCCAAAAGCTGTCGTAGAGGCTCAGGCAGATATTCTGGAGCACAGGGCTAAAGGGTGGGTGGAAGCCGGCCTCTTGCACGGCGCCAGTTGTACCCCAAAAAGTTTTCAAGTAGTCTAGCATAAAATCTTCGCCAAAGGAGAGGCGGGTGACCGAAAACAATGGGTCTGTGAACCAGGGTAGGAGGGCGAGCCGAACATCACGTTCAAGAACGGAATCTTTCGAGAGCCCCTTCATGACCGCTGTCTGGACCCGCAAGCTGCAGGCCCGCAGCTGATTGAAAACCGCGCAACATTCGATGTAAAGTCTGCGAGATTGCCTAAAAAAGGTGGGTTACCATTACCCTAGGGATCATAAGGGAATATTACATTATTATCAAAGTTATATTTTGCCCGCGAGAGGAATCGGACGAAAATGCTGGTTTCACTATTGCTGACGGAGTTTACGGAGCTTGCTTCTACTTCTCAACAGGGTTCCATGGTATCCACGTGATCACGGATAACTGGGTGGAGTCGAAAGGGGATGTGTGTTTCATATTCGTATTTCGGGTAGAGGGCAAAAATGTAGGAGGGCATGCCCGCCGCGTCGGTTGGTAGTTCCAAATCTCGCTTCAAAGGCTAGTATCGTTCCCCTGCCTTCCTCCGCGAAGTCCTTCCAGCTCCATAACCCCGAAAGAACTTTCTGTGGTTCTGTTCTGTGAGCTCCACTATTTCATACATCCTCCAAGCATTCTCCGAGTAAATCTCCTTGTACAGTGAGATGAGGTTGATAAAGTGGCTTCTATCTTCAATGGAGTTCTGCGCAAGGAAATGGGAGTAGAGGAGGGAAACGACCTCGGAGGGGAGAGGGGAGAGGGCCGTGATGTCGGAGTGGGCGAGGGCGGTCATTTCTGGAGATGGTGGTGACACCGGTCGAGTACTTTAAGAATGTAATATGAGTGAAGAGAAAGCATCTGGCATCACCGACCCTCCAAGCGCCAGCCAATCGCGCATTTGACAGGCATTTGATCCCGTCCATTGCCCCCGGCGATCCGAGCGGCGTGGCGCTGTTTGCGACACTTGTAACAACAAAAAGCTTGTCCAGCATCGACGGCCATAGCCTCCTCAAAGTACCGCGTCCCGTCTGATCCGCGAAG